AATCAATACTGGTCGCCAATCTCCATCTGGATGGAATAAATTAGGCATAATAGAAGACAGTGCAGTCAATATGCATAGAAAAATTGGTAATAAATGTGACAAATCTTCCTAATATGATGATTAGCTTCTTGAATCTAGTTAGATGTGAAACTAACTAGACCTACACCTGGGCATTTTATTCATGACAAGAAACTCTTACTGAATTTCTTAAGCAAAATCAATAGTTTCTTTTGAATCAGAATCAACTGAAGTCTACTTCCAGAGTTTCTTTTTTAAAAGCTGTGGTAGTGATTAAAAAGTGCAATCAGGTTTAAAAATCACTGAGTTCTTGTAAGGAGTATGCCTGTCCTATGGAATTATAGATTCCTGAATAACAAAACAGTCATTAAATGAGAATAATAAAAAAATCAACAATAGAATGCAAAGAATGTAAACCATTTCAATCTTTTCCTCTCTCCACCAACCCCAAATATCTCCATATCTTATAGATTCTATAAACAATTTCTGTAAAAGGTCATTTAAAATTTTTTAACTCCCTAAGTCTTATTCAGATGTAAGAGAAATGCAGCTCTATTTTAATAGAATGCATGTTAATAAAAAAGATAAGTAGAGTTTGTTTCTTATGCCTCAAAGCGTGAAGCAGAGTGTAGAAGAGTATGAATCTCCTACAAGTTTTTAAAAAGCATATTTATGGTACAGACCACTCAACAAATTTTATAGACACACACATGCAAAAGGAGGCCTTTGGACTGAAGGAGGAGTGGGGAGGAGTGGAGTAAAACAAAGAAAGAAAAGTTATTAGCTTTGGAATGCTTGCAGCGTCTTGGCTAAAGTTCAAGGTTAATTTTGTATTCTGTTGACCTTTAAAATTATGCAAACACAATCCTCTTTCTTCTCTTTTACTGCATTGCATTTCATATTTGTTTGCCTACCAATGACAATTTTATGATTTATGATCCACTTTCATTGTACTGTAAAGATAGCATGTTGTATTTTTCAAAAACCTGCATGGTGAACTGTGCAATTTTTCATTAAATAGTTGAAAACATGGAAACTAGGAGTGAAAGATGAAAAAACAATTGCTCTTATTATAAAAGACAAATAGCGCTGCCAATCTTATAAAATTATAACCATTGAACTTAAGACTCAGATGACTTTATAATAAGCTATGGTAAGGGTTAGTTTCTTAAAAAAGATTAGACTTGCCTCAGGCTTCTGGCTGATCTTTTCAGTATGCCTCCTATACATATTCCCTGTATGAATTTCAATATACAAGTGCGTGATTTTAAACTTGCATCTCTAGAAACTATACAAGAAATACTTGCTAGAAGAAAACCCCAAACAAAGAAATGGCTACACATAAAATTTTTGATTTCCTATAATCCAAAGTAGATTAATTTTTTGCAAAGTCCACAGCAAAATAAACATGGAGGGTACCTTATCAAATATTTTTCTTAAATATTTTCCTTTATCTATACTTAGAGCCATATAAATGTTATACTTTTCACTTCAACCATCACCATATTTTAGAAAAGTAAAGAAATTTTATTGTAATGTTATGGTTTGTGTCTAGATTACCCCCCAAAGCCTCATGTAATCATAGGTGAGAATTTTTCAGATATCACTGTATCCAAAGTGTGTAATGTGAGAATTAATTCATACTGCAATACTAGATTTGAGGGAACTAGGATTAAGGATGCTAGTGCTTCCCACCTTAAGTAGCCTGGATAAGATATAAGGGATAGAATGAGTTAAGGTAGTCCCTTGTTTGTTCTCACCTGCCTGTTTTCATTGGCTTGTTGCTCCTCTCTGATGTTCCTCTGTCATGACACCCTGCTGTGAAGCCAGCCAACTATAAACTAAAGCTTCTTGGAGCTGTAAGCTAAATAAAATTTTCCTCATTGACCTTTGGCTGCTGGGTATTTTATCTCAGCAATGAGAAAAGTAGCAAACACAGAACTTGATATCAAAGAAATGGGTCATTGGTATGACTGTACCTAACCATGAAGTTCAGGAGGCTTTGCAAATGGCTTGTTAACAGATTTAGGAAATGTTCAGAGATTTCAGCTGAAAAAGCAAGCATATAATGTCTAGGTTTGTACTTGATGGGAGATTCCTATCAGAGCTCAATAGACCAGAAATCTGATAGAAACACTGCTAGTAAAAACCAGGCTCAGAAAGTTTCTGCTGTGAAGGACAATTGGTTGTTGAATTCCAGATGACATACATTATAGCTTGGCAGACAGTTCATCTTCATTTTATTCATCTTCACAGACTTTGTCTCAAACTGAGAGTATGGCCAGTATACTAACTAAACCTGCAGGAAAAAAAAAATAAAATAAAATTCAGTGCAGTCTAATGCTGAGGTAGTGGCATGGATACTGGTGGGGGCTTTTAGCCAGATTTATTTTGAGAATCAAAAGCAAAGAACCTAAGAGAATGCTTCAAAACACTGTGAGTTTGGGTAGAAAGAAAGATACAGTACAGCTGAGGCCTGAAAAAATGGGACAGAGGAGAAATTAGTCACCGATAAAGCTAGCAATGAAAAGTCAAGTATTTCAGAAGACACAGAAAAGATGGTCTGAGGACATCACAAGAAAACGGAGGACTCCATCCTTTGCAGCCTTAGGTGTAAAGAATTTGCTTTAAGAAGAGAGCCCCTAGTGGGCTGGAGGTTTAGCTCAGTGGCATAAGCGCCTGCCTTGCAAGCAGGCAGTTGTGAGTTCAATCCTTGGTACCAATAAAAAACAGAGTCCCAGAGCACTGTGTTCCAGATTTCCTGCAGTCTAAAAATTTTGTTCCTTGGAATTGGGTTCAGAGTGCTCTGTCATACAAGTACTTAACCTCAACTGACAAAAGAGAAAAAAGTCTGACTACTGCTCCAACTGGCATTGGACTGTACTATAGCTACTGCTCCAACTGGCATTAGACTGTACTGGCTTTAGGCTCATACAGAATGAAAGTTTTGTGTGATCAGAAAGGCTTCCATCCAGATTTCATATGAAGGGGAGGCCAGGCAGTGTGCTGCTGAGATGACAGTGTGTTAGGCTGTAACTGTGAAGCTGGACGTGCAGTGGTGACCACAGGATGTCGGAGAAGTCAGGAATGTGGATCGTCTAAGGAAAACTGGAAAGATATAGTAGATCTCATCCAAGGGAGAAGTTACAAGAGCTACAATTATCAGCAGTGCTGTAGGGGGTAGAGCCACTCAGCCCTTTGGAGTTCACATCTTGTCATGGATTGCCTTGGATGATGGGCATGAAACAACAGGAATTAATATTGGTCCTGCTGAATTCTGAACTTGCTTTGTTCCTGTTCTTTGTATTCCCCTATTTGTAACTTTTAGGATGGAAATGTCTGTCTTATGTCATTGAATGTTGGAAGTGTTTAATTTTTTTTTTTTTTTTTTTTTCATTTGTACAGGGGCTCCAAATTATGAGTTGCTCTTAATTTCAGAGGAAATATTAAACTTTGACTTTATGGCACTACTGAAACTGTTAAAACTTTAGCAACTCTTAGAGTTACACTAAATGCCAATTGCATAAAGAGATGTGCATGAGTGTTTGAGGGGACAGAGACAGAATATTGTGCCTTGTGTTTAGATATCCCTACTGAAAACTCCTAAGACTCATTTGGTTGTAGGTGGGTCTTTTTTAGACATAGTTGGACACATAGTGTGTGATTGATTCATGGTTCAATGCTATAAACAAGGACACTAGGATTAAGGGTGTCAGTGCTATTAGCCTCGGTAGCCTGGGTAAAATACAAGGGACTCAAAGAACTGTTGTTGCCCACTGTTGCTTAGCTACCTTCTGCCTGTCTAAATTGTTTCTCCTCTGCAATGCTTGTCTTCTATGCCACCCTGCCTTGGAGCCAGACAATTACATGTAGAAACCTTTAGGATCTGTAAGCCAAATTACCTTTGAGTGTCAGATATTTTGTCTCAGCAATAAGAAAAATAACTAAGACATGTGGTTACAGTATTTCTCCTTACTTTATTTTCATTCTTACTAATGTTGCAAGTTTTATTATATTATGCCACTTATTGTATGAAATAACTTGCTATAACCATGGTTATGGTGTGCTTGATCTTAACAAATTATTTTTTTCTCCACCTGAGAATCTTTTGACTTCCTCTTCAATCCAACAGGATATTTTCACTGAGTATAGGATTCTTTTTTGGAATGCTTCTCTCTCATAATTTTACAGCACTGTGCCACTTCTTTGTGGCCATCAATGTTTCGAATGAAAAATTCAGTGCTACCTGTAATACTTTTCTGCCTAAAGATTAGGTGTGATTTTTTTCATACATTTAGTAACTAAAATATTATATCTTTTGGCAAAATTAATCTTGATTGGGATTCAATCATCAAGTGTGTGTGCTATTGTTGTGTATGTGCATGCACATGTGTGTAATACATCATACATGGCATTGGGAGAAAACTGTGAATATAGCTACTATATTCAAACAAATGAGATGTTGATGTTTACATGCGTTTGTATTAAATCCTTATAAATTGAAAAATGGGTTATTTGTAGCATAAATGATTCATAGTAAGAGAAATACAAGTGAAAATCTAATAACTTATGGGATTGTTCATTCTAGCTACAAATAATTTTTTTTCATACTAAAGCAGGAAAAAGTGGACCAATGTTGCCTGTTTGAAGCAGAATATCCATTTTAAGACAACTTGAATTTTATGAATTTGAAAATGAAATCATTTTGAATAAAATCATATTCCATTTAAAAATTTCAGAAGGTAATACAAAAATTACATCATTAAAATTGTTTTAAGAGTTAGAAAATAAGCAGGGTATTTAGCTTAATGGTATAAGCTCTTGCTGGAAAGCTTGAGGTTGTATGATTCCCAGTACAAACAACAAACAAACAAACAAAAACTGAGTCAGAAAATATCAAAATTCTTTGGTAAAATGAATTATAAAGGAGTTTAATGCAATTATATCATAGGTCTGTCTCTTTGGTACAAGCTATAAATAGTGCTTGTTTCAGCAATGCATATACTAAAATTGGGATGATTCAGAGAAGATGGTCCCAGTCCCTGACCAAAAGATGATGGGCAAATTAGTGGCATGTTCTATATTTTTCCCCTTTCCTTTACTGCCAGAAAAGCTGAGGCACTAATAAAATAATAAAAAAAAGTCTAACTACCATTAACTATCAGAATTATTCTTCAATGCTTAAAGTTTCAAAGAATGAGAATACAATAATAGAATAAGAAATGTGGATTTGAACTCTTCCCCTGGTTCCCGTTATATGGTTTATACAACTTTTATAATTTCCAGAAGGTTACTGAGTACTTGTGAGATGACTGTGAGCCATATCTAGCTTTGGATTGGGGGTGGTGACCAGAAACCCGGAGCATGATTAGAGAGTTAGGATTTTCTGACCCATTTTTACAGTTGTTAGAGAGGCAAGAGGGACTAAATGTTGGGTTTATCAGCAATAATCAAGAATATAAAGAATCACACCTGTGGAAGGAAGGATCCATAAAAAATCCAAGAACAGAGTCTAGAGAGCATTGAGACTATTACAAGCATTGGGCTATGCTGGACACTAATGTGCCCTAGAAAGGCCAGGGCAATCTACCTTCTAATACCTATGCATTTCTTTATCTGACTTTTCATGTATTTTCTTTGTAATATCCTATATTACATTGGTAAGTAAAGTGTTAACTCTGAATTCTGTGAGCTTCTCTAGCAAATTAATCAAACCTGAGAAAGAGTTCATGGGAATCTCAATTTATAGCTAGTTTTCAAAAGTAAAGGTCACAACTCCAGAATTATAATTGGCATTTCAACTGGGGGCCGGTCTTGTGAAACAGAGTCAGTAACCTATTGGATCTGACTCTAACTCCAGGTACATAGTTTCCAAACAGTTAAGTTATGCAGAACATTCAGTGGGTATCTTCCTGGGAATTGCTTGTTTGGTGTGTACGCTGGAGGTACACATGTGGTGTTACAAATGTACTTTTGAGTGTGAGAGAGGTAAAAAGCAATATGTGGAAAATATTTCAAAAAACACACATCCATATGCACATGGAAAAAATCTGCTCTATTTTAGTATGTCTTATGCATTACTGAAGTTATTGCTATATGCAAAGTCATGAAATAAAAACTAGAGGATTTATAGGAAAGCAACACTAAATGCATCTCTACTGATATATACAGGGTCATCAGAAGCTACTACAAATTGTAGCATTTCATGCATAATAAATGATTAAGAAATGTGCAGTTTCAAAGGGAATTTGTCACTTTATCTGGAAAAAGATGTGACATTTGATTACTGATATGGACTGGAAGGTTCAGTTTATGAGGAATTTTGAAGAGACAAAAACATCATTTGAAACAAGAGAGAAAGGTACAAACACAGAGATGGATCAAAGAATTGGTAATGCATGTGTTGAAATGAAAAAGCAAGTAAATAGATGACTGAAGTCTAAGAAAGTTTACATTGTGTTTACTTCTTTATGACCGGGTCCAGAAACATAACATTTTGTGCACCCACCTAGTATTTCTCGAAGTGAAGTGATACATAAGAAAATAAAATATATGTGCAGTGCTCTATTTTCCCCAAGTATGTCAATAGTTTTGAGGCCAATGAACTTTCTTAATGCATACTTTTTAGCAGAATTGACTTCACTAGCTTCTGCTAATCATATATCTCTGTTTGCAGTTGCTTAAGGTTGCAGAGAATTCTTGTAGTGAAACTTAATATAATTCCTTTCATTATTAAATAAACTCCATAAAATATATGTATTTTGATCTAATATATCAACATTTGGGGCCTGACTAAGAAAATATAAAATATTTCATGTCAAAAATATTAAATATGATTGAATTTGGTACACAGAATTTAGAGACCACTTCACTCTAAGAGGACAGGCATTTGATTGAATGAATTATGATATACCTATATAACTGACTATCATGGAAGTAGTTTAAAAATTTTACAGAAATTAATAGAGAAATAATAAACAAAGTAGAATATAAATAAAAATATATGCACATATGTCCACCTATGAGATTATAAATACATTTTATTATACATACATAATTATTTTTAATTAAATTCTTTTTTTAAAATGTGTTTCAAAACCATGATTTTTTTTAAACCAGGGACTGAACACATGAACTTGCTGTTACCAGGCAGGTGCTTATGCCACTAAGCTAAACTCCCAGGTGACTTTTTCCTTTTAAATACATACAATTAGCCTAACCAGAAAACAATTAATGTCATTTAAGCTGTGATTTCAAAGCAATCTTATGACATATTTTTATTAAACTCTTCAAATATGAGCCAGAATTTTATTAGGTACAGTGCCTTTATTAAGCATTACCCTTAGGACTCTCCAGCTTCCCCTTCCATTGGGTTGATGTATAAATACGCTGCACACCATGTCTTCTATTTTGGCCTCAGCAGACATTGCCAACTGATTCCTGTCCAATAACTTTTATTAAGTGTTGCTCTGATTCTGAAACACCAGCTAGAATTAGACCATGAAATAGATATATTGGTTTTCTTTCTGTTTCAGAATGCTGTCCAAGAGGACCAGTGTCTTGTATTACTCCTTGAATTTCCATTGTCTGTACTAGGCTTAATTTTTAAATTTTTTTTCAGTACTTGTTTGCCGTCTAGTGATACAGCATTCTGATAGTTCAATGGTAGAATGCTTGTAAGCATGCACAAGGCCCTAGGTTTGGATCTTAAGCACTGCTCAATAAGTAATAAAAATGTGCTTGCTTCTGCAGCACATATACTAAATTTGGTTTATTTTTAGAGCTATTTAAAATGTACTTTACATTTACATTTACAGAAACATATATTTGAAACACGAATGTTTTCTACAAAAGTATTAGAAAATGATCCATTTTTCCCTCTGTATGATACTTAGGTTGCTTTTAAGCAGTGGCCTCAGTGGTCTCATTTTTTAATCTTAGTCTTGAACAAAATACTGCTCTTTTCTTCTTCACTTGTGATTCTGAAAGAAAACTATTGTGAATCAAGGAGTAGAGAAATATAAATATTACATGCTTTGTCAAAAGTCAATTTAGCAGCAGCTGGGGTTGCAATGGAGAACTACTGCTACACAAACGTCGGAAGCAATTTTTTCTCATGTCTTATAATTCCTGCAGAGCAGAATGACTTCATGATCATGACACTCTCACTTCTTGAAGCTAATTTAAAAGTTAATTCCACATGAGCTAGGAATAAAATCCTTTACGAAATAACTACTGGCCAAGAGACTTAAAGAAAGAAAGAGAGAGAGAGACAGAGAGAGAGAGAGAGAGAGAGAGAGAGAGAGAGAGAGAGAGAGAGAGAGGAAAGAAAAAAGAAAGAAAGAAAGAAAGAAAGAAAGAAAGAAAGAAAGAAAGAAAGAGAGGGAAAGAAGGAAAAATCAGCAAATGGAGTAGAAATCCAATAAAATTTGCCTACTGTAACCTTGCCACATAACTTGGGAAAACTCTCGACAGCCAAATGTCAAGCTGTGTTGAGAGGAGCATGAATCGCTGGTGCTTACAAATTCAATTCCATGAAGCAAGTATTTATTGAATGTCTTCCACTCAGAGTGTGCAGTGTTTTACACACTCTGGAAGAAAAAAGAAAGTGTAAGACAGTTTCTACCGTGAAGGAGTTAGCTTTCCTAGAAAACAATTTTGTTCTGAAAATTAAGAAAAATAGATAATTGAAAATACCCTGTGAACATAACACGCACATGTCATCAGGTGTCATTGTAAATGGAAAATCAACCATCGTCTTTTTAATTTACCAAAAAATCAACCCAGACCATAACTATGCTTTAACCTTCACCACATTTCATGTGGAACATTCTAAGAAAACACATCCAAACATAGAATGCTGCTGCTAAAATGTGCAGGAGCAGCCAGGCTTTGCTCCATGACCTTGTTTGTCAAGCAAGATAGCATGTTTTTTTCCAGGCAATGCATTATTACTTTGTCTCATTTTGATGATATATTATACTTACACATCATTGAAGAAGCAATTTGCTTTGATGATGAACAGACATGCAATAGATCATGGCTGAAAGAGAGAGAGGAGAAGCACCCTGGAGATCTATAACTCACACATTGATGCCAACCATAGAAGAACAGGGAAACAATTAATTTAAATTATCTGGACAGAAACTGGGCCAACTAAAGGATTTTGGCCCTTTCTCAAATGTAAAAATAAATTATAAGTGCTTTCTCCTAGCTATAAAAAGGCTCTGTCAGTGATCCTTGTGATGATGGAACTTCTCAACATTGTGACTACAATGGTGGGTGAAGAAAGCTATACAAGTAATAATCAACAACTAACAGCTGTTCATAGGAATATCATACACACAATACAAAAATATAAGTCAAATTAGAGTAAGTTAGTAATATGAAATGATTGTACCAAAGGCAACATTCTAGTTATGGCATTATAGTATTTTATGGATATTTGTAATCATCAAAGAAATTCAAATGAAAGCCACACCATGATATCACCTCATTCCTGTTAGAAAGGCTATCAAAAAAGACAAAAGTGTTAAAGAAAATTTGAATATGATGAAACACTTTGGTAAAGTGTGGCAACAACGTAAATTATTTTTACCATGTATCTTTTCTATTTTTATTGATAGTTGCACAATGCTTATTTTTGATAATTACATCAAAGTTTACATGTGCTTACTTTGTAGTGGAAAAGTACAGAATCTGCAGCCCAGCACCCCTTCCTCCCTTGGAGATGAATTTATTCTTCATGGATGTAAATGGGGACTTTTCTAAGATTTTTTTTCTGGAATACTAGAAGCTTCCCTCAAATTAAATTTGAAATCATTCCTTAGTAACTCAATATTTACAGCTAGCAAACATCTCTATCTTAAAATTTTGCTTAAAAACTTTCTATACATTGCCAAATCTGAAATCAGAATGCTATTACTTTTTCACACCCCAGATGCTTCACAAAGTCAGAAAGCACCAAACTTCAGCTTGGGAAAATAAATTCTGTTTTGATGTATTATCAAGTATTAATTTATTAGTAAATTTATTTTTTATTGGGCACAATTTAAAAAAGAACCAAAATTTCTAGAGGCAAATAGGTC